CGAAGGAGTATAATCCGGAATTGTCTCTTACCATAGATACAATTTGCAGTTCCTCAAGATGTCTGATATACTCAAGTACATCTCTCCTCAACAAAAATACTGACTTGCTGCTTCTTTCATCTCACTATCGCCAAATGAAATATGGCATGCACCGTCTTTAAAAAAAGGCTCTAGAGGCGAAATTATCGACAGGTTGTTGTTGTCCATCATTCAGCGTAGTCGGAGTCTTGAACATGTTCATGTAGTGACCGGGATTTCCTGGATTAGGGTAATGTGCTGTGGAATCTTAGAGAACCTCACCCCCAACTTATCTCTTGGCATCTGTCGCAAATTTCTTTGCATGCTTGTCAAAAATGCATGCAAGAGTTCCAGTATGTTTCAATTTCTTTAATTTTCATCCCGTTTGTACTAAATATCCCATGAACATAGAACATATAATTCTTACAAATCGTATGCTTTTTATTTTTGGAACTGATACTTTTTGGCGGGTAAATTACTTCACAAACCTGGCGCCAAATTAAAAGTTAAAAATATTAAAGCTATAGGTGATTTCATGTATCCATTTAGAAGAGCAGACTAAGCTGAATATCTTAAAACTGAAATCGGTTTCGAAATACAACCATCAGGGACGTAGCGAAGCATCTGAAGTTTGGGGAGGGGGGAAGTCGGAGGATTTTACAATAAACAGTTATAATAAAGCTTTTTGTGATTGATTGGCACTCTCATATTAAGTTTTGGGAGAAAAGGGGGGTCTGGGGGTTCTCCCCCAGAAAATTTTTACATTTTTAAAGCTCTGACTAGGACTGAATTTCTGGCGTTTTCTAAAGCAAATTCGCATTGCATGTAAATTGACTGTATTTTACAAAAATGGTTAACATTTCACAAAAGTAATTGCTTTATTACACAAATTTTACCTGAAAATGTCAAAATTTTAACTTGAATTTTACATGATTTTTGCCTGAATTTCACAGTAGGGGGAAGTTTTACATTTTTAAATTTTTGGCGCCAAGTTTGTGACGTAATTTACTCCGCCAAAAAGTAGCAATTCCAAAAAGGTTATGTTCTATATTCATGGAAAATTTATGGTCATGGTAAAATCATGGTAGAAGACCAGATTTGATGAATGTTATTGTTCACTAAAATAGGTAATGAGTTATATTGTTATTCTAATGAGTTTCCAAACCATCTATTCTATTAAATATGGTGGGAGTGAACACTCCAGGCCCCTGCTGGACCCAAACTTTGAAATGTTTATAGCCCCCCCCCCCGTGAATATATTGAGAACTTTCAGAGCCCCCTTTAATGCCAGAAAATATTTCGATGCCCCTAACATCTTCATCCCTGCCCCTCGGCATAATAAATGTACTTTCCCTAACGTTTTTGTAACCAAAAAATTGTAACAAAATAGCCCATATTAAATTATATAGTTTTGCATACACAATTTGAAATCCTCGGGGCAAAATTGTTACAAGGTCACAGGAGGGTAATATAACTGAAGAATAGATCATCATCCTTCGGTAGTACACTGACACTGTGTAATGTCTTAATATCGACAATGGAACAAATATATAAAGTTTTGAAATATTTGAACTCCTGTGAAAAATTTTCCAACCCCTTTTTCCTCCCCTTGAGTTCCCTCGTCGACAAGAATTCTGGAAAGTTTACAGGGAAAATATTTTCGGATCATGTTGGGCAAAATGCAGAGCAAAAATGTCGGGCAAAGAATGTTTTCTGTATATAATGCCTAAGCCACGAAGACTGAAGTAGTATTTCGTCTCTGTAAAAAGTGCTTCGCTTGTGTAAATGAAACTGGTGCTTCTTTCATACTGGTGCTTCTTACCTGTAATTGAAACTGCATGCATGGTGCTTTTTTCATCGTTGAAGATGCACATTACATCTGAGCTGACCATAGGCGCCGAAAGATCAATAAGTGGGGGGGGGGGGACCATATTCATATATTCGTGTTCACAGACCTTAAAAACAATCGATTTCAAAAGAAATTAATAATGCAGAACACGAATATATGAATATGGTCCCCCCACTTATCGATCTTTTGACGCCTATGGAGCTGACATCTGAGCTAGCTATAGTATAGTTTACCAAAACTTGATGTGCGTAAAGTTCCACTCAATTATTTCATACCACATTATAAAAACATTGCCTTATGATGCACTAAATTTTTAATCGGACAATTTTTAACACAACATGGCGCTGAATTTGATTGATTTTAGGAATACAAAATGGAACATAAAAAAGAACTACTTCTGCTTAAATTTCTTAGCATTGCAACAAAATGGCCCATTCTGATATAAGTCTTCCAAACGCAATTTTATGAAATGCTTGGGGCGTAGGATTATAATTTCTCTTGTCAATTACGAAAGAATGATGCATGATCTATGGAATATTGGAGGATTAAGTGGGGGGGGAGGTAGTATTTAATGTCTTTAACATTCTATAATTTTGCTTTATATCGCTAAATGACATGCAGCTACATTATTTTTTGTAAACTTGTTTTGAAAAGTTTTCTCCAACGCCTATATAAACGCAAAAGATTGAAACAGTATTTCGTTTGTGTAAAAATAGCAGTTCACCTGTACTAAACGAAACTGCGGGAACCACTGCCGAGTATTTTAATTAAATACAATTAGACAAAGCAAGTATTTTAATTAAATACAATACAATTAACTTCTAGACCTAAAGAACTAATAAAATTTAACTAATGAGTACGTAATGCCATTATATAGTATTTCTCATATTTCTTCACTTGTATATATATATAGTATATACCTATGATATGTCATCATTCCTGATGACTAAAATCTAGTCGAAACGTCGAATAAACACTGTTTAAAAATGTTTGTCGTTTTCGGAGTTACTATTGTACTGTAAATGAAACTGGTGCTTCTTTTATGCTGATGCTTCTTACCTGTTGATGACATTGCAGGGTACTTTTTTACATCGTTGAAGGGGCACGTCACATCTCAACGTACTCTATCAGTAAAACGTCATAAGTTCCACTCAGTTATTTCATACAATAGTTATTAGAGTTTAAAGAAACTGTGAATTAGAAGAATCTTGCCAACAAGTCCCAAGATACGGTAAGAAAATCAGGTATAAAAAAATCAGTATTGTTTAATGATAGACGCTCTAGTTTAAATTTCAAATAAGATAGCAGAAAAAAGGACGGTTGTGCATGTGACTAATTATTAACTTTTGTATATTGCAGCTATTTCAATTAAGGTTGTCCCCCAACAAAGCGGAGAAGTCGAATACGAGCGCGAAAGGTTGCTGGGAATCGCCCTGGAATCGCTAATAAATGAATGAATTTATTAGCGATTCCCGGCAGCAGCCTTTGGCGCTCGTATTCGACTTTTCCGCTTTGCTCAGAAGACAACCTTAATTGAAATAGCTGTAAACATGAAGATAACTATACAAAATAATCGTAAATTGATTATTAGTTAAATTGTTATTTAAAATCACCAAATACAATTAAATACTGTACTCCTCGTAATGCTGAAATTGGCATTCTGCCGACTCTTTAACTAAAATTTTTAATTCCTCAGTGGACTCTACAAATTACACTATATTATGCACTAGGCATGAATAGCCTGGGAATTGAACTACAGTTTCAAAGTTTTAAAAAGACCCTAAAGGCTAAATCCCAGTCCCAGATGTAGTATTTGGTAGTTCATCTGTTTATGGCCCACATTTAAGGCATGCAGTCTCAGCTTTATAAAAACTTGATCAGTGGCGGCGCCAGGCCTCCGAATTTGGGGGGGGGGGCATTTGAGGGGCAAACTCATATTTTGGGGGGCAAGATAGAATTTTTAATAAGATTCGCCCCCCCTCAAAAGGGGGGTGATATTCCTAGGAATATCGCCCCCGGGGGCGAATATCCTAGGAATATCGCCCCTCTTTAGGATATTCGCCCCTCATATATGCGATGTGGTTTATTCAAATAATTTCGTGATACTTTCATCTTATTAGTGCCTTACACGTTTGAGAATTTAACTCTGCAAAACTAAAGCTTTTTTGTCTTTTTTGAAACGTATTATTGGAGTATTGGCAAGTTTTACCATTCAGAGATTTACGCCCGTATTCTAAAAGCTCACTCACACTCAATGAGTGGAGGTTCAATCTGAGCTTCCCTTTAGCGTCAATGTTGCTTTTGAATAACTGGAGGGGTAGTGCCATACGTTACTATGTGACTGCTCACCCTCCAGCTATTCAAGAACATCATTGACGCTCAAGAGAAGCTTAGATTGAACCTCCACTCATTGAGTGTGAGTGTGAGTGAGCTTTTAGGATACGGGCGTTACAAACTAATATTGAAACTGTAAAAAGCAGTTTCATGTATACGCGCATTCACTAATGAGTAATGACAACTTATAAGCCATACATTTTCCGATAACGACAAAACGCTTGTGTAGCCTTTAGTCGCTTTTAGTGACTAATAATTTTTTTGAGGGGGAGGGGCAGAATGAGAGGGGGGCAAAATAGTGGGAGGGGGCATTTGCCCCCCTGGCGCCGCCACTGAACTTGATGTGCGTTCAATGAAGACGATGATTGAACGCATGCATCATTACCGGAGACGAAAATTGTCTCAGTCCCAATTAATAATATACGTTCAGAAAATCATGTTTAATTAATCAATATTAAATATATTTCGTATAACTTTGTCCTAAAATATAAAGTTTGAATATTGGATTATATTAACCAGAGCTGAAAATCATCTGTGGAAAAGAATGTAAAATGATAAAAATTGAACTGAAAAATACGATGACATGCCTGAAAGTTCTTTTTACTATATCATGTCAATGTGAAGTAGATTGTTATTCATATGCCTTTCATTTTTTAAGGAAGATGATGAAAGTTGGTATACTACTTTTCATTTTAATAACTGCCTCCCTCGTTTCGTTCGAAGTAGCCTTTGCTGCCACCGCGAGCGGTGGTCCGGATCAAATATTGACGACGCTGAAAAGAACTTTTGGGAATGCATACATACGCGAAGAGCGCGGACAGGCTACACCCCAAGAGCAGTATGCTGTCCTTTACATCCATAGAGGTGGTCCCAGGGATAGCTCAACTCCAGTTTTCGATGTTAGCAATGTTTGTGGTAAACCTCCAAAAAATTTTATTAAAGAGACGATAGATAACTGGAGCCGTGGAATCAGGGGAAAAGGCAGGGACGTTTACAGTATTACACAGAAAAACTCTCCTCTCTGGCCAGCCTCGGTAGATGACGGTCCCACTTTGGCCAAGGATTGCGAAAGTATGGGTGGTCTTACCCCCCACCCGAATATAGCCACCGCTGGTAGAATACAGACCCCAGGACGTACGCCAAACCCAACAAATAAGTTTCACAGTGAATATTTACTAAAGAAAGTATCTAACATAATGATGCTAACTTACAAGACAAAAGAGGGCGATTGTCCAGGAGCTGTTTATCTGTACTCCTATCTTACCCCTTGCAACACTTGTAAAGATACCGTTAAAGCTATATTACGCGATCTCCGGATAAGCAGAGGCAGAGACGGAAAGTCTTGTACAGACACGCCATTTTATCTTGGTTACACAAATGAGTACCCAGAATGGAATAAAGTGAAACCATACTTGCAGAAAGCTGGAATTATAGTAGTGGGACCAATAGATTAAAAAGGTGGTAGACTAAAAATTATAAAACTACCTTGCCATTACATCTTATTAATTACTGATTTATTCATTCATTCATTTATTAATATATTCATTCATTTGAAGTAATTCAGTTGTAATGATAATAATCAGTTAAAATTAAAAAGCGAATAAATGTATTTATTTTTGTTTCAAAAGTTCTGCTGTTCTATAAAATATAACTCATTTACTTAGCTTGAGACTGACTATACACATGACCTACATTTATTTAGACGCATATGTCTCCTGATGATCGTAGTAATGCGTGAAACTCGGAGTAGAGAAGAAAAAAAATGTTAAAATCATGCTGATTTATACTGATAAATTTAAGTTCAATTTTCAAATTGTTGAAAAATACGAATGTTTTCATCAAAGACGTTCACAAGCCATTTAAGCCTAGTTTCCATTTGGTCGTTAGTTGTCGCTGGCACGACAAGCGGTAGATGTGAAATAGTCTAATATAATAATAGTCTTTTTGTGTGATATGCAAATCAGTGTTAATGATTGCAGAGTTTTTTGTTGACACTCTATTACATCAGCCACTTGTCGTGCCAGCGACAACTAACGACCAAATGGAAACTAGGCTTTACATGCAACATTCGCCTCCGTGTTGTATCGGATAATAACCCACACCACACAGTGGCTCAGTTTGTAAATAGTACATATAAAAGTGTCCCTCTACGAAAATCTGCCCTCCTTGTGCTCTATTAATTTCAAGAACGTGATTTTCAAGACCGCTCCCTACTTCAAACAAAATATTTGAAGATTAAATCGTGACATACCTACGTAGAGTGGGTCGTTGGGTCAACAGTCAACTGCGTAGATTATATAATTAGATACCATAAATTTGAACTGACGAGCAACTAAAAACATAAATTTGTGTTCTCAAGTAGCTCGATTGATACACGTATAAGTCCGATTCCGTTAGGGGCTGTTCATATGGAGCAAGTCGGGTCGGGATGATTCGTTTCATAAAGCTCTTATCACGACTTTGATGAACATATACAAAATTAATGACATTTCAAAGTTAAATATTTTCCAGTAACTGCAGTATACAGTTCATTCAAACGATCTTTTATGGAACAATTTTCGTGACATGATTCATCTCGGCTACCTGGGCTGGCCCGAATCATATACACACGATTTCTGGTTCGATTTTCTTCTTCTGATGGATGTGAACGAGTGGATAAGTTAATAAAGTTATGAATGTTCAGATGAGGGTACACAAACTTCTGACATTTGTAACTCACCTACTCGTTCACATGCATCAGAAGGAGAAAATCGCAATAGAAATCGCAGCAAATTGCAAGTACAAACGAGCCTTATCAATGATTCAACTCTCTGATCCAACGGCATAGGCTTGGCACTGTGCACTCAAAACACCAATCAGCGGGAACGACGAACGTTTCGAATTACAAACGAAACAAAATACACTTCATACTGAGATCGCCAACGTATTAAACGAACCATGCGTAAGCGTTTGATTCTGCTATAAATTTGCTGTCTCATCGGTAATGACACATAGACGAGAATTAATCTGGATATAAATCTTTAACTGGCTGTATAAAAGTTCCTCAGTATAACGCACCAATACACTATTACAAGCAGGTTATTGGTATTAGGGCCTATTAGCGCATACCAGTCAATCGTACCGTGCTTGGAATTGGAAAGATTAGAACCAAAAAGCACAAAGTACTTCAAACAGCAAAAAGGTCGGTATATTATTTAATTTGTCTGGTCTCTATCTTAAAACATATAATGCGATAACGCAGTTGAAGACAATTAATTTAAGTGTTAGGTCATAGAATTTTAACTGGCACAGACGGCAGTTCAGTATAATTTGTGCCAGTGTACTGGGTAGTGCCAACAATAACAAGGTTTCGTTGGTATAACTACCTGAAAAATATGAGGAGAATTTGGACGTTTTGAGCGGGAAGTTAGTACGGCCTTCGCTTGAAACGTCGAAATTCTCCTTATATTTTTCAGGTAGTTGCATCCCTATCAACGAAACCTTGTTACATATTGTACTGTAGTACATTGTCATACTATACGCGCTCGCTTCTTGCCGTACTGCCGAGTATATTGCGTATTTAAATTTAATATAAATGCGAAACGATCACACAACTACAGTCCTGCCTTGAGTCATGCCAGAGCCCCAGAGGCACACGAGTGAACACAAAAACTATTCGTGAGAGAACATGACCCAAGCAGCTACGGCCATCGGCAGCCTTTAATTTTGCGCCCGATCATGTTCTGCACATTGGATACACCTTTGTTTATTGCGTTTCTCACTCGTCGGTGAGCGGATTTTCCCAACGGACTATATATTACCCAAGGTGTAGCTACGATTTTAACGTCCTTATCCGAGAAGACTCGAAAGATAGAGGTTCGAGCAAGGATTGACCCTGGGTCTCCCAGTTTGAAAGGAAAGCGTAGTGAATGGTTTGGTATAAGAACTGTATTCTAATCGCGTACCCATGCACCGAAAGCTTTTAAACCATGTAGATTTTACTAATGAAACAACTATATGTATGAACAATTAGTTACGTATATTTTGGAATATCCTCGAATGCACTTCTATTTCCTCTTTCAAACACAATCTTTATGCTAAGAAACTATTATTATTGACTGTTATTACTATCATTACTATTATTGTGTTTGTGGTGTTACTTTTGTTTTTGGTTGGTCTTAATATGTGATTCCCGTCCTTGTTCACCATGCCGTTTCCGTGAAGCGAAAATATTGTTTTGAAATTGAGGATATTGTTTGGTATCTATGCCTTTCACTTCAATGTTCGGTATTTGCTTCTGCGGCCAGTGTTTCATTTCTAACTAAAAATAAAGATTACGGCGACGTTTGATTGCGATCGAAAATCGAAAACGGATACTATAGCGAGCTTAATTAAGCAAGCGATTGCTGAGGGGGGATTTGTATCAGTTTGTGGTAAGCGCTATGATGCAAAATGCCGCCAAAATTACAAGCTCGTCCCCAGGGCATTTTGCCTCCACTACTGAAGGTCGTCCAATGTTGACAAAAAAAAGTGTTTAAACTCACTATTAAATATCACATCAGGCACGCATTAATTGTTACGGGGGAGGGATTTCAAGCTCTATAGATTATAACAAAATAAAGGTTTGATGGGTATTCCAACTATGTTTCATTATATAATAATAATAATGTCTATATTTTAGCTGGTAAAAAACCAGATCAGCTAATAGTATATTAGCTGGTATAAACCGGGGACCAGTACAATATAATATATAAGATATGTTACAGTTATATACCTAGTTACCTAATTCTTACAATTAAATCTAAAAAAATCTAAAAAAAGCTAAACCACATGCTGTAATAATAAACACTAGACGCTACAACGATGCTCCCGAGCATCTGCGTCTAAAAGATACTTGAAAACATTGCTCTTAAACAATCGGACAATGAATTCATTTCCCGCAGTACATGATAGTGTTTGGAAAGCATTAACAACAGCTAACCAAGGTTGTGCACTCTCATCTTTGTTAATTTTGTCCTATCACAGCAAAGCTGGTTTTCCCGCACAAGGCGAATAAACAACTTGCATGTTAGACTAATTTTTGATTTAGGCAATACGTGCGCTGTAATTGTTACCGCACGTAATACAAATATACTGAAAGTATGCAAACTTCGCAAGGCTGTATTTTCTGTATTTTACAACATTTCGCAACCAAATTTTGAAATTTTACTGATTTTATTATGTTCTTTTTAACCGTTGTGTTTGATTCC